TTTTTTTTTTGTTTGCCTGTTAAAAGGTGCCTGATGTATCTCTCTGAAAAAGCAAAAAAGGAGAACTTTTGCTTTTGATATTTTGAAAGGATAGAAATGGGAAACATGTACCTTGTCAATGATGCCATATTTCCTAATACACTATTCCTTCTGAGGTCACTGTGGTGTAATAAATAAGGCCTGGCAGAGCGACAGCATTCTGCCTGGCTGCGTTATGACATGCAGGAGTACTCCAGCTAAATGTCAATGCTTCTAATTGTGGCAGCTTTCAGATGGGAGCTTTTCATCTAGGCCTACCTTGTGGCTTTCATTATCTTTTAAAAAGGCTCAGACTACATGGAATATTCCACTGTAATGCTGTCTGTAAGGCCATATACATTACAATATTTTAAAAAATTAAGATAAATATGCATTGCTTTTTTTCCTTGTGCATCATGGCATGTGAGGCTGCGTTTGAAAAGTAGCATCTTTTAATCTGTAGTAATGAAGATTCTGCATATAGAATGAGTGAATATCATCTAGTTCTCTGGAAGTGCTCAGACTGCTATATTGAGCTTCAATATTTGCTCAATATATGCTAATGATGAATTAGTCTGACACTTGGCAGCTGATGCTGTTCAGGGAATCAAGAATGTACTTATGGTCAGCTGTGGCTCTTCTCTGGTGACACATCTCTGGCTATAAAAGCACAGATCCTGCGCCAGGTTGAGAATTCACCTGCATCTGGATGGTAAAGTTATTTATATGCTTATATGCATAAGTTATATGCTCCAGTACGTGAGGCTTTGAAGCACTCTGCTGTTGATGATGTATCTTGGTGAATGAACAACGATGCACTGGCACCAGCTCACAGAGTTCTTTTACTAGAGTGAGTGAAAATCTGGGAGTTCCCTTGTCAAAGCATGAAATCCTAGTGCTCAGGCACGTGAGCAAAGTGAGTTTGGGGCAGTCTTTTAAAGCAGTTCTTTTCATAGGGTTCTTTTCTTTTTCCAGGTATATAAATACAGAAATATCCTGCAAATAAATTAATTTTTAAGAGCTTTCTGATGCTTAAAGGATTTCTGCAGTTCCATGATGAGTTTTCCACATTTACATTTTTAGGAAAACTGCTCTCTGCTTCCTTCATGTTTCATAAGTGATGACTGGGTTTATACTGCTAGTGAGTATAATGGGAGAAAGAAAATCTCCTTACCAGGCTTGTGTCAAGACATGGCTCTGTTACAGTCTGCTGTAAGCTGCCCTAGGCAAAAGCAAGGCGATGCCTCTGTCCCAGTGCCAGAATGATCTATATAATGTTAAATACCGAGACGTTGTTTAGATCTGTCCCGTGAACTTGGGAATCTCTTCGTAGTTACAGTAATATTTGGGCAGCAGTGGGTGAGGGCATGGAGTGAGGCAGATAGAAAGGAATAAATGTAAAATGTAGCAAATTCCCAAGCTTCTACAGTTAATATTTTTAGTGACTGCATCACCATTTCTTTGTATTGACTGCCTGCTCTTTTCACTTCTCTTTCTCTGCATACTCGATACTTTTCTCCTGTCTGTCCCTTTCTCCTTGGTAATGGTGGGACAGAGGTACTGCCTCCTAAGTCTTCATCTCCCTAGAGCTTGTATTAAAGCAACCTCATTGCTCCACTCCTCCCTAGCAGGATGTATATGTTCATTTTTCTTTCTCATCTTCCCTTCCCCCATTCTCGTTGTGCTGTGTGTAAATATATGTAGTTGTACAGTAATGTGCTATCTCTGATGATCTAAGTAGAAATACTGCATACACAAGGTATGAAAGAGTCAATATTGATCCATACATATATATGTACATATCTATGTATATGCATACATAGATATACAGATGTATACTTATAAATATATATTTATGAACTTATATATATATATGTTGGATGCCTAGTACCTTTCACTGTACAACATTCTTTGTATGGTCTTTTTATGATGTGAAATAACACATTCTTTGTTGTCACTGGGCCTTCCAACTCTGTAAAGAAAGCTTTTTAACAAAAAACCCCCAGCATTTTCTTCATGAAATTCTGTTAGGATCAGCTGTGCTTTGAACTGTTAAAAACTGTCATTTCTGTTGAATGTTTTCAATGTTTTCCTCAGGAGATACTTTGAGTATGTTAAAATAATATCTAGAGAGAAAAAGTAGCAAGAATAGCATCTGCTAGATTTGGAGGGTCTTGAGAAAATGGATCTGAAACCATCCACTGCAGGTCACTGCCGTCCTCTCCTCACGTGCAGGCTGTAGTGTGAAAAGTTCATGGTACAGACTATTGCTGCAGCAGGGGAGGAAGCAAATGTTGTTGTTAATGGTTTACTGTTTTCTTTTAGCTGAACCAGCTTTAGAAATTTGTACCAAAATCTTCCCTAGAACTGATGAGTTTGCAGTTAATAAAATCTGTTTTTTTCCCCCTAAAGTTAAGAAATACCAGTGCATTCCCTGTGTGTCCAACTCAGTTCTTGTCACCTCTGCAAACACTTTATGATATAGCCTTTGGATTTTAATATCCTTAGCAACAAAATATTTTTTTTTCCTAAAATACAGTTTTTTCTTTTAGCATATAAGTTAAACACAAGACTAAGGATTGCTTTTTACAGTATATGGAGCAGACTGAGCATGCTAAGTTCATCCACGTTGCTGGATATTAAAAAGAATCCCACTTGCTGCTCAAATTCAGAACCCTCACAGGACATGATAATGGATTTAATATATGAGAAAACTGCAGCAGGGTAGTAGGGAGCTATTTTCTCTCTGTGCCCTTGCTGGATAGGGCAAGAAGCTGGCCTGAAAAATGAAGCAAGAAAGATTCAGATTAGGCTTTTAGCAAAACTTTCCAAAGTCAAAGACAGTAAAGGGCTGAGGTAGTTTGTGTGCAGAGACTGTACATTTTTTTGAATTCTGTAGCAAATTAGATAAATATCTGTCAGGGGCCAAGTATTGATTTGTATCTTGAATCTTGCCCTTTCCAAAGCAACAAATTAAAGCTTTGTGTGTAGAAGAGCTCAGCTGGAGATAAGTGATGCTGAAGTGAGCTGGCATGAAACCAGCCCTGCTTGTACCTCATACATCCAGACTGGCTGGAGGAAAGGTTGGGTTTACACTATGACACAATGCAAGAACTTCATCTTCATCCACAATACTACTCTACAGCTTTATCTAAGCCTGTGCCTGCCAACATGCTTGCATGGAAGTGATATGATGGCAGTAGAGGCTGGCTTGGACCTGTGAGCGTTTGATAGTCTTTTTATATCTTTTAGGGTTACTCCGGCTGCTGTAAATCTGTGTTTTCCAAATTTTGAAAGTTTGGTTGCAAACATTATTTTCAATATAATATTTTTTTTTTAATACATGTTGCCACATAGCTGGCAAAGTTTGATATTTGCACAGTATTCTCCTTCCCAGACAGTTCCACTAATTTCAGATTATGCTGTTGAGTCCAGTGGATGTAACTGAAGCACAAGGTTTTGCCCAGCAGCAATAAAGGATGTAAAGAGACCATAATCCCAGTCATGAGATGTGCTTTTAAAATAAAGAGCAGCGATTAGTTTAACCCTTACTTTCTTATTTTGAAATTTATTTGTTGTTTTTCCTTTTTTGTTATCAACAATGAGGAAGATGCTTTCTATTAAAAAAAAACCCCCAAACCTATTTATCTTATTTATTAAGATGGAGAGGGTGAAATGAGTCAGTAAATGTGAAGGACAATTTTATGTCTCTAAGTCTTATCCCAGTATTGCTTTTTGAAAAAGCTTTACTTTGAGTTTCTAGCTGCAGATGTAAACTAGCCAGCAGTTCCCACAGCCCAAAGTGTAGCTGTACGACAGAAGCCAAATTCCAGTCCAGGACCTCAGTCTTCCCATGTGACTCTGTCTTCTTTTGTGGATGCTCTGGAGCCACCACAGTGTGTGTGTATGAATTGAAGTGAAGGTTTGCTGGAAGTCTGACTGTGGAAGCAGAAAAATGGTCATATGTTTATTTGTTTGTTAACGTGCTGTAGTACTCAGGCACTTATTTGAACAACAACAGCAGGTAAACCAAAAGTTGGGCAGAAAGAGCTGAAAGATTTGTTTATCTATTTTAACAGAAAAATTGTACAGTAGGGAGAAGTACAGGATAAAAGGAATGAAAACACAGTTTTGTCAACTGCTCTTTGATATTTTTCTCTAAGCCCAGCTCTGAGAGTGATGTTGTTACATGAGAACCTGTGGCTTCTTGAAAATCTATGTGTCTGGAGGCTGAAATCTGGAAAGAAAATAGAAAGAATGGCAAATGTTGATTTTATAATGTGTGATTATTTTTAGGCTTGTTCTCATTACACTTTAGGGAACCTGTCCTATTGTATTTTGAATCCTTGAATATACTGAGCATTTTGAAGATGTTATAAAAGTGAATGTGCTTAGAAGCCATGACTTTTGAAATAGAAAACATTGGTTTTAAGTCAAGAGATGCTTTACTGGCAAAGTATCTTATATATTCCTAGTAAGCTACACAGTGCGAGGAGGGTCCATTTCAGCAAAGACTAGGTATATCTGGGACATAAAGAAAGATGTACTTAAAATATTGTTGTGGGGAGGAGAGGCCAAATATATTCCTTAATTTTTTTTAAACAGGCTGAAGCCCCTCTTAGCATGCAGATTCACAGGTTAATTAGGTGTTCAGGTTTTAGGCCATTCATCACAGGTTTTAAAACGACTTTCTTCCTTTCTCCACCCGTCATGCACACAGCTGCTCAGTTAGACACTCGGCATGGTAAGTGCATGCAGACTTCCCCGTTACAGCCTGTGAAGTTGTGCTGTGCATTGTGGGCAGGACAATTCCCAGATCAAGACCTTTAGCAAATGGCAGCAGCTCCTGGGCGCGTGGAACTCGGAGGGCTGACCTCTAACTGAAACTGTGAGCTGGGGACAGGCTTGTTCACTTGATGAAAAGAGTCTGATAGGTTGCACTTATTTCCCACCCCGCTTCTCTGATTGATTCTCTCTCGCAGGCAGGAATGGCATCTCCTGAAAATCCTGAGCAGTTGATCATTGCCCTGGAACCTGAGGCTGCCTCTATCTACTGCCGAAAGCTCCGCCTGCACCAGATGATAGATCTGAGTAGTAGGGCTCCTGTCAATGGTTATAGCCCGAGTGACACTATTGGAACTGGATTTACACAGGGTACTACTTCTATTGACTCACTTTTTAAAATCCTTTTGCCTGTTCGCTTTGTGAGGGCTGTTTTCTCACTATTTCTTGTTGTCTTTGCTCTCTTGAAATGTTTCAGGCTAGCAGCAGTTCTTTAATAAACTATTTCACTGTTTACTGTAATTTAACTAGTTTAGGCATTGATCCAGCAGACATGTTTGCACGCACTTGAATTTTAACATGCAGGTAGCTTCATTGCCTTGCCTTTATTGGAATGTTGTGGGAGTCTTTTAGTATTTTCACAACAGTATTTTTCTGCCTTAATTAAAATCAATACTTCATGCTGGATCACTTTTAAATTTAATTTGTTGGAAACAATGATGTGTTCGATTAGCTGTGTTGTTGAAGAAGTGTTAAATAACTGGATCTGCAATGAGATTTTTTAGTCTGAGATATTCCAGAGTTTTGGCAAATCCTTTTTTGTTGTAATCTTCATGAAATATAATTGATTACTTTCAACACTCAGGGGAACACCCAGTATTGGAATATAGCAATGAATTTATCTGCTCATGGAAGAGCAACTAGATATGGCTCTTGTGATTTATTGACCTGGGATCTGTTGCTAATATCAATGTTTGAGGACTGATGTACAATGAAGGGCAGAGATTGAACCACAGTCTAAGCCACTTGACAAAAGATCCTTCATCACCAAAGATTTTTGAGCTTGGTATCCTACCTGAGACTGGAGGAAAATAGAAGAGGGGGGAAAAAAAGAAAATGAAGCAGCAGTAAGATGTGATTGCTGCATAATGCACAGATTTTCTGTCTCTGTGAATTTTAACAGTTGCACTGACACTGGTGGTAGTGTGCTAATCTATCCTAGAAGGAATTTTTCAGAAGAATTTGTATTTTATCACATTTACTAGGTCAAAACAGTACAGGAAAATGGAAGATTAAGCTAGTGAAGCTATTCCTGTACTTACTGGAGGGCATATTTTTTATTTAGGCAGAGTCACAACATCGTTCTCTCAAATCTGTGCCTCTCCTCGCCAGCCCTTGTCAGATGTGTTCAGTGTTATGGAGACCCACGCAGAGCACAGTACACAGTCCCTTTACAAGATGCAGTCCCTTCAGGGGCCCCTCACCTTCTGTCTCCCTCATTTTTGTCCTGAACCATTCCAGTTCCATGTGATTTTACATGAACTTACTTTCAGGTTACACAGGGATTTGTGTCTGGGAAAATAATAGAAGAATTTATCTGGTTAAGGTTTTGAAGCTGGGCAGAATCTGGCAGATCATGAATTTCTGCTAATGGGCTTTTTCTTGGATGGGGAGTACCATTCTCCTCCTTGACTTTGTATGGTAAAAGCTATTTGGGATGAGAAAGGTTTCATGTCAAAATTAATGAAAACAAAGTTGGAAGTGAATTAATTTGGGGTTAGAATTAAAATTTCATAAAGGCATGGCAGGCACCCAAGAAGCTCAGAACAGATTAAGGAGAAAAACCCTTTAAATATAAACAGAGAGAAGCACTCCAAGCACCATATTGCTGTGAAGTCAAAACAAAAATTTTACTGTTCATAGTAGCCAGGATAACCTCACTTCAGTCGTAGTTAAAGACTGGTTCTTGTATTCACTTTTAGTCCACAGGAGTGAATAAAAAGACTCCCATTAACTTCTGCGGGCTCTGTGTCAGGCCCTTGCTTGGACCTAGTGCCTGTTTTGTCACTGAATGCTTCGATGCTTCATTGTTTAAACTCTCTCTGTGTGCTGCTAAGTCAGTGCAGCGAGGCTAGCGTGGCTTCTCTGCATTGTGTAGAGTCTTTATGGGGAGCGTGCGGGTGCAAGTGGAGCTGCTGGTATTTTTCTGATGATAGGCACTATAGAAACAAGAAGTAAAAAGCATTCAGTGATTTGCATGCTGATATTCTCAGAAAGAATATTTTCATGCATGACAGGTTGCCTCTCTTCTGTTGTGTTTTATAGAAGTGCCTTTGAAGGTGGGTGAAGATTACACAGGGAATGATTTTTTGAGTAGGGTTGGGGTTGATTAAGAAGCATAATAATAAAGGCACTCACTACTCTGCTTTGTCTTCACATCTTTGCATCTTTTAAATGTATAAGTAACAATTAAGTCTTGCAAGTTAACTTATTGTTAATAGCATTGCTAGATTATACTTAATTTTTAACTGGTGTATATCTAAAATATTATGAGGTTCAGACTAAATGGCTGCCCAGGGAGGTTGTGGAGTCTCCTTCTCTGGAGACATTCAAGACCTGCCTGGACACCTTCCTGTGTGATCTCATTTAGGTTCCTGCTCCGGCAGGGGGATTGGACTAGATGATCTTTTGAGGTCCCTTCCAATCCCCAACATTCTGTGATTCTGTGATTCTATAAATGATCAGTGTGACCTTAAGAAGTCACAAATGTGAGAAGCAGTGCTTTTGGCTGCTTGTCATCCTGAAAGGCTCATGAGGCACTTTTGCCTGAGCCCCCAGAATCAGCAGTGACTTTTGGAAATGTGGGGATCAGCTCCCCAGCCCCGGGCAGCGCAGGTGGGTCTGGCTGCGGGCTGGGGCTGCCGCCTGGCGGCACAGGCTGTGCCAAGCACAGCTGCCTGCCAGCCCACCCGCTTCCAGGCAGCGCTGAGAAAAACAAAAGATATTAAAAAAAAAATCAGGCTTGTTTATAGCTTTCATTTTAGGTTATTGGTTGTATTCGTTAGTATCAAGGAAGATCAGTGTGGTTGAAAAACATTTTTCCTTCTTTCTAGGAACTACATTATAATGTTTCTGATTCTAATGCAATTATTTTTGTTCGTTTGCTTTGTTAAGAAGTGATACGTACAGATCTGTCAGCCTGCTTGCTCTTGTTTCCTGCAGCTTACGATGTCAACCACTTTGTGCTTTCTTATACTCAGTAATTTTTTCTTCTGTCAATGACTAGCTAAGGAACACGTCCGTCGTAATCGACAGAGTCGTACCTTTTTGGTGGAAAATGTCATAGGAGAGATCTGGTCTGAACTGGAGGAAGGTAGTGTGTCCTTTCTTGAATAAACTTTGCTCTCACTGGCTTTATATTGTGGGCAAGCATTTGTGTTTCCCACAAATGTGCTGTTCACTGCATTGTTCTCACAGTGATTATAAATAGGAAAAGAAAAAAATACAAGTTCGTGTGCTGCTCTTAGTTACTAAGGCTGAACTGCAATTCTGTATGCTCTAGCAAAATGCAGTTTGTGAAGGGGATGGAAGAAAGGAATCCAGGTTTTAAAATGCAACCAGAATATTCTCCTCAGAATAGGGTTTGTAAATATGCTGCAGTATCAATTTGGTAGCCCACTAGAATGTACACCAGCAGCATGAGCAATTCCATTAATATGCTTTTCATCTGTGCTAAATCAATAGCTTTTGATATCTGAATTTCATATATTTTGTCAAGCATTATAGTTACTAATAAAAATCAAGTCTTCATCGTAGACATTTATGACTTTCTGTAAGTCATTATCTCTCATGGTGATAATGCCCTTGAGAAGCTTTCATTGCAATATGCTGCTGTGATAATGCTAATGTAAATACCATTTGCCCATTCCTTTGGCAAACTAGGTGACCGTTACATCGTTGTTGACAGTGGAGGAGGCACAGTGGATATAACTGTCCATCAGATCAGGCTCCCTGAAGGACATCTCAAGGAGCTCTACAAGGCAACGGGTAATGTCACTTCCACTGCTTGCTTTATTTTCGTAATGTTTTGACTTGTCAGTGAAGGAAATTTATGCCTTTATTATTTGTTATACCTCACTAACAGTGCTTCCTGAAATAAGACCCACATTTAAAACTATTGTAACCTAGCTGCTAGTCAGACATGGGTAAATCACTTAATGTTTCTGATGCTTTTGGGTGGTAAACCTCACACTGAGAGAGTAAGAAACTGCCATCTTCTGTGTTATTTGCTCTCATTCAGGCCATGACCTCCTGCCATGGTCCTGGTATGACTTCTGCTAGTAGAGTTGTCATCTTCCTGTCCTTTGAGAGATCACCTATGTATTGTTGCTCTGTCCAGGTATTCAGAGATGTACTGTGGAGGCATGAATAGTTGAGCGTCACAACAAGGTCCTTGTAAAGTGATTGTTGGCAGAGCAGAAGTTTCCCTAGATTTCAGGGGAATCATGTATTCCAGTGATTTCACCATCAGTGTGACAGGGAGGGTCTACCATCCCCTGAGAAAAGTGCACAGTGATTGGTCCCCAGCAAAGACATGAAGTGCAATTCCTTGAATTGAGTTCCCTTCCTGAAGTCCAGATCCAATTTGACTTTGTCCTGTGCCAAAGCTGTTAAGCACATGAGTTGGCCTATTATTTGTTGCTGTGTCTCTAAACCCAGTTAATCTTCATCTCAGTCTTGAGGGCTGTAAGAGTGCCTCAGGAAACAACCTACTAAGAGCAAATGGGACAGTGTACATCAAGTCTGTCTACTCCTAGATGAGTCCAACCCACACATTTTCATGTGTGGATAAGGAGGCAGTTTCCTCTGGTTCTAATAAAAATAGTTCTGTTTCATACTGGTAGTGTTATTGTGGCTATGATGCTATAGGAGTAAAAGTGTGGCAAAGGTAAGATTATGTTCTGTATTAGAGCAACTGTTACATTTAGGAAAGCTACCTCTTTCTGTCGATCTTCTCCCATGACAGTCCCAGTAGTGTCAATCTGATGTGTATTTGGTCAACTTGAAATCTAATAAGCAGTTCAGAATACTAAAGCTGTGTTTTGTTTGTAATACAGGTGGACCATATGGTTCTCTGGGTGTGGACTATGAATTTGAAAAGCTCCTGTGTAAAATATTTGGAGAAGATTTTATTGAGCAATTTAAAATCAAGCGTCCTGCTGCCTGGGTTGATCTGATGATAGCATTTGAGTCCCGTAAACGGGCAGCAGCTCCAGACAGGACCAATCCACTAAACATCACTCTGCCTTTCTCCTTCATTGATTACTACAAGAAGTTTCGAGGTCACAGTGTAGAACATGCCTTGAGGAAAAGCAAGTGAGTAGACGATGGAACCCAAATGGATGCAGAATTAACTACTGATAGCAAAGACAAATAATTAAAATATCCTAATTACCTGTAGACTGAAAGATAATAATTTAAAAATGTAATATAAGGATCAGTAAATGAGATTGCCTGAAGTGCAGTTTCCAGAATGAAAGGTTCTGATCAATCTCTTGCAAAATCTTTTCTATACAAGACTCATACTCTCCTGATGTTGCTTTGTATGACTTTCATTAGGCCAGCACTGTATCATGTTCCTGAATTTGACCATATATTTTGAGTCTCTTACATGTTAATTTAGGAAGGTCATATCAAATACAGAATTTGATGTCTAAAAATATTACCTAGAACCTTAATTTTCAGAGGCCCAGGCCCTGCAACAAATCTAAGATCTTGAGTGAGATGTGTAAGTATATTCATGACTTGAGAAAAGTTCTGCAAGAGTAACTCATTCTTCTTTTGAAGTGATGGCAGACTTTCTTTCCTCCTAGTGTGTTACAGTTAGATCATTTGCTCAGTAGATGGAGAGATGTAATTCCTTGCAGAGATTTTAATTCCTGATTATAAGTATCAAGGAATTGCCCTAAGTGACCAGATCATGGGCTGCTAGATGAAAGGAAGTAAGGAGAAAGTAAAAGTGGGAATTTTGCATCTTTTGAAGTTATATACTACAGGAGACCTGGAGATTAATGGCTTCAAAGAGAATGAACAAGAGAGCCTGTGAATCTGGGGCAGAATGCTTGTGACCTGAGAGCAGAACACATGATATTTAGTACCTGTACCGTGATTTCTTTCTGACTTTTTTAATCCAGTGAATGTTGAATGTAGCATGCAGGCTGAAACTCCTGCATCTCTTCCTAAAGTTATTGGTAAATATACTTTAAGCTTAAAAGACTTGGAATCCAGCTTGGAGCTACTTCCTAAATAAGGCTGAGGTTCTGAAATAATTAAAAAATTCTGGAAATATTCCCTTGCACAAGACCGTCTCCTTCTTATTAATAGTCTTAACAGCGAATCTTAGAATGTTAAATGTTCCCTTCAAATAAAACAAAATTAATTGGATAACGGGATAGAAAGAGTATAAAGGTGGGATAATGGGATAGAGAGTATAAAGGTGGGATAACGGGATAGAAAGAGTATAAAGGTGGGATAACAGGATAGAAAGAGTATGAAGGTGACATATATGTGCATGAATGAAAAGGAGATTACTGAGCTATATGGCGGTGCATCAGTGATGGAATAACATAACGCTTGTATTCACTTAATAAATGTTATGCCTCATTAAAAATGCTGTGCTCCCTTCTGTGGCTTCCCATACTTGCTTGTTTTCCTTGAGTATTTCCAGTGGCTTTGGCCTGCTACTGCTATAATCTAAATGTTGCCCTTCTGAGGATGAATCAGTGCTGTTTCAGATGAGTGAGCACTGGATTGACTGCCAGCTGTTTCAGGAAGCAGCTGAGCATTGGTAATGCTACAGAAAGCAATCAGGCAAAGAAAGAAACAATTAGAAAAGCAAAAATAACAATTGTCCCTTGAAATTTTCCATTGCTGCAGTTGGTATGGGGCTAAGGTGAGGTGAGGCACTTTCTTCCAAGCAAAATGCCTGCAGATTCTGTAAACTTACTAATTTATTTATTTTGTGTGTCTTGCAAGTACTTGGCTGTTTCTTACAGCTCAGCTGTAATGTTTTAATGTCCTTTCTTTTCCAGTGTGGACTTTGTGAAGTGGTCCTCCCAGGGAATGCTGAGGATGAGCCCAGATGCAATGAATGCTCTTTTCAAACCTACAATTGACCAGATCATTCAGCACCTTAGTATGTATCTGTATGCAGTTCCACTTTCCAGCTGAGCTGAAACTGAAGCTTTGCTTACCTGTTACCAGTAACTGGAATTATAGTCAAACAGCCCCCCTAGTACACACCAAATGTAGGCAAAGAATTTAGTTCTGAAACTTGTAGTTCTCTACAAAGTAGTTAGGAAAATAATAAAAGTAAAGGACATCACCTTAACATCTATTCCTACCTAGTTGTAGTACTAGTTACTTAGTGTGTTTCAATACTGTTAAATTATTCTGTACTTCCAGGGCTGCAAGCATTCAGAAGGCTGAAATGCACTGACTAACACTGCTTTTCTTTTTCCTGTTTCAGTCAAAAACTAAATAATGCCAGAGACGTAATTAGTTTCTGATTATTCCTGTTGTTGAGACCTCTAGTTCATTTCTGTTCTGTGAAATGACTTATAAAGTCACATTTGTTCATGACTGTCCAAATCACTGACATCTCTAAAACACAAAACAGCAGTGAATTTATTTATCTCATAATGGGAAGTGACACAGGCTTATTTGGAAATGTATTACTTAAAGTCTTCCTGGTAGAAGATTGGATTTGTATCAAGTAGAGTATAATATACGTACTGAGCAAAGTATCAGTGTTCTACACATTACAAAGCACTAGTTGAATTGTATTTGGAGTGGAAAATCCAGCTTTAGTCACTGTATGTGAGGAATTATTAGACGAATTCTGAGAGGTCATAACTGGGACAGCTAGTACAGAACAGCTTATATGTGGGCAGGGGAGGCAGAGGTCTAGAATTACAATAGTTGTGACAGATACCTCAGTCATGCTGTCTTGGTTATTTGAACTATGAGTGAGCCTGCAACTGAACTGTATGATTTTCTTGAAAGTAGGGGATGTGGGCTTAAGCTAAGAAGGAACATCTGTAAAAATGTAAGGAGGTATTCTTTTGCAGATGGTACATATTGTGGTTAAGATGTTAGGGTCAGAATAATAAATGAATTTAAAATAGGATAACTTATCTGGAATGCAGTAAAGGGTATGTGGATCTGTTAGGTTTTGGAATGTCTCACTGATACCTGAAGCGGCAAGATGATATCTGTTTCCCTACCACACATAATTTGACTGGCAGGATTTCTTTGCAAGAAATCCTTTACTAGTAGAAGCTAAATAAAAGTTCTGTTTTAAGTGCCACTTCAGAAATATTGTATGCTTTGAGGTAAGTTTCCATTCACAGTGAAACAGAGTATAGAAGTGGAACTAGTGCATGCTGAGAGTGGCAGTGTAGGCATAGATGTAGCAGTTTCAGATCTCGTGCATGTGCATGGGACGTTCAATTAGGAGTTTCACCTGCGATGCCTTGTCACAGTGGATGTTTCCCTATTGAATGGGCTCTGTTTCTGTTTAGGTGATGTGTTTGATAAGCCAGAAGTGACCAATGTCAAGTTTCTGTTCCTGGTGGGTGGCTTCGCTGAATCCCCCTTACTCCAACAAGCCGTCCAGAGTGCTTTTGGTTCAAGATGTCGAGTCATCATTCCTCAGGATGTGGGGCTCACTATCCTCAAAGGAGCTGTTCTCTTTGGTCTAGACCCTGCTGTCATCAAAGTGCGACGTTCACCTCTTACCTATGGTGTGGGCGTGCTCAATCGGTTTGTGGAAGGCAAGCATCCACCAGAGAAGCTCCTAATCAAAGATGGCACACGCTGGTGTACAGATGTCTTTGACAAATTCATCTCAGCCGACCAATCTGTAGCCCTTGGAGAAACTGTGACACGCAGTTACACCCCTGCCAAACCTTCTCAGTTAGTAATAGTGATCAATATCTATAGCTCAGAACAAGATAATGTTAGCTTCATCACCGAATCTGGAGTGAAAAAGTGTGGCACCCTCCGCTTGGATCTCACAGGAACTGATGCCTCAGTGCCAAACCGGCGGGAGATCAAAACACTTATGCAGTTTGGGGACACTGAAATCAAAGCCATGGCCATTGATGTTGCCACCTCTAAAAGTGTCAAAGTTGGTATTGATTTCCTAAACTACTAACAGGTCATTTTCCCCACCAGAGCCTGTTTGTGAAACTGATCTTCCACTATTCGTTTTTTGACTTTCATATATCACGTAACCAACTTGAATTTCAGCAGGCTATATGAGAACAGCTAGTGAGATGGGCTATGTCATGTTTGTGCCCTTTGATGACTAAAGGCTGGATTTTGAAAGACCCTTTAAAAGTTTTGGAAGTAAAAGTTCCAGAGGTAGTAAAAGTTACCAAGTTCCTCAAGCATGCTTAAAGATCTACCTTTATTAAGTAAATACTGGTTATTTTTGGGTCCTGAAGATTAGTTTAAAAATTATAAAATCATAATCTCTTTGCCTTCTTCTTCTTCTTCTTCCTCTTCCTCCCAAAAAAACCTCTCTAACCCACTTGGTTCTTGTAGGGGACATGTCTGTGTGGGGTATCTGTTTAAACAGCACCATCCTCTGGCAAGGGAAACAAATTAGTAGTCTGTAGTGTTATTTTGATTTTGCCCTGTGCTTTCAAAATTTTAAGTGCTGAAAATCAATTACTTAAAGAAAGGGGAACTGAGTTTCTTAAATTCAGAGGTCCAAAAGAAAAGAAAATCTTAGAAATCCTTAAAATTAGATTTAGGAAATATATATTTATTTTAGGAGCCTGATATTGATTGCTTCAGTTTGAAGACAAGGCCTTTATTGTCAGAGCTCTCACAACAAACTGCTGGATTAAATAGCTAACAACACCCTCATTATACTTTGTAAAATTATTAAGAACAAAGCTGTTTCCCTTTTGGGTCTTCTAAACTTAATTTTATTAGTCTCCATCTGAAATCATTCAGTCACAGAATAGTTGAGGTTGGAGGGGACATCCATTGACTTCTGGATGATCCAACTTCTCAGCACTAAGCAATGTCAACCAGAGCAGGATGCTTTGTCCAGTTCTGAATATCTCAAAAGATGTAGTTGCCTAAACTCTGTGCAACCTGTTTTCTGGTATTTGACAACCCTCACTGAAAAAATGTTTTTCCCTAAGTTTAAAAGGATTTTGCATGACTTTCAATTTGTGACCATTGCCTCTTGTTCCTTCACTGGATACCTCTGAGAAGTCTGACTCCATCTTCTTTACTGTCTTCTCTCAGGCATTTATACACATTCCTTGCATCCCCTGAGCCTTCTCAGATCTAAACAGTCTCAGTGCTCTCAGCCTCTCCTCATGGGACAGATACTCCAGTCCCTTAACCATCTTCATCACCCTTTGCTGGTCTCAGTCCAGTATGTTCGTGTCTCACTTGTGCTGAGAAGCACAGAACATAACCTAGTGCTCCAGATGTGGTCTCACCAGGGGTGAATAAAGGGGAATAATCACTTTCCTTGACCGACTGGCAATACTCTTCCTAATGCAGCCCTGGAAGCTATTGGCATTCTTTTTTTTTTGCAAGGACACGTTGCTGGCTTACGCTTCATTTTGTGTCTACCAAGACGCCGAGGTCTTTTTCTGCCAAACTGCTTCCCAGCCAGTTGGCCTGCAGCACAGGGTGGTGCGTGGGGTTATTCCTCCACAGGTTCAGGACTTTGCACTTCCCTTTGTTGAGCTGACCCTTCTGGTTTATCCAGCACTTCTCCAAGTGATTATGTGTCTTTTCTTGTTAATCTCTGTGTTAAGATTTGGAAGTACAGTTAGATGATGGTTATCCAGGAAGATTTAAACAACTTAAAAGAGAGAAAACATCCAAATCAAAAGTACTGTAATATATTTTGAGTAGTGAACATTTTAATGGAATGAAATATATATCTGGATTGAGTTAAATGGCTAGTAAAGTGGAAGGCAGAAGCCAAAAAACTACAAATAGCATTAAATAAAGCATTCCTTACATGGCTATGAGCACACAACTCTAATGCAGGTGGAATACAATGATGGTCATGGTAGCATCTTGTTTTTCACATAATAACTTTCTGGAAATGTTTTCTTAAGCACATTTACCTGGAAAATTTCTTCTGCAACTGGAACAGTTTTTATTTTTGCAAAATGCTACAGGTGGATAACTTCTGAAACCTACAATCTGTATCTGCCATGAACTGACAACTTCAGATTCAAATCCAAATCCCACTCCAAATTGGCAGAGTGATCGTTTAACTTGTAGAATCACCCTAAAATGCTGACATTTTCAGAGCATTTATACAGAGCTGCCTGATTACCTGCTGGAATTCATTACATTTTTTTTCAACTTTGCAATGTTGATTGTTAAACTAAACCTTCCTTTGCAATAAGTTGAGCATGAGTTAGATCCATTACTGAACTTTTTTGAGAAGTGAAAGCTTTATCAGTTATTTCACTAATTTCCTTTCCAATTCTACATACACTTAAGCTTTCTGTGTTGAGCCTGGTGTTTTGCCACAGTAAAGAGCTGCAGAACTGATCTACTGCATTTTGCCACTGAGTTTTCTGTGTCTCCTGCAGAATTCCCTAGTTGAATGTGAAATCTGTTCTGCATTCAGCTTTTTTTTTTTTTTTTTTTTTTTTTTTTTTTAAAAAAAAAAAGGACTATGGAGAATGCTAGTCGCTGTATCCGGCTGGATACTTTCTATAATTACAAAGTGTGCTTGCTAGCATTCAGTTTCCTGCTGCCTGCTAAATGCTTTAAAAGCGAAGTACTGGGATTTTTTTGTGTGTTGCTTTCCATGGTTTACAAACAAGAGAAACTTTAAGATGAGTTATGAACAATATAATTTTATGTATATACAATATTTAAATATTGTACAGACTCTTTCTTTCTACAGTGCTATTTTCTTGTATAAAAATGCTCTTTGCCTCTGTTGATTTCATTCAGCTGTTAATTTTAAATAACATAGTTTCTCAATCAGCTTATGTAATTATAGGCTTTTAAAGATGGTAAGATACGAAATGTAAAAGGCTGATCTTATAATAATAGGAAAGAAATGTTGGTGTGTCAGAAAATACAACATTCTTCCTGCAATGCAAGTCATACCAGCTAAGCATATTACACATGCACTAGTATGTTGCTGGAATTTTCGTTTCTTTGTTTGAGATGGTGACCATTCCATCTCCAACAGTTCATCATAATAATGGATGAATCCTCCTGTAAAAACAAGTTAAAATTTTGACTGTATGATCTGGATATACAGTTTCTTCCCTAGGTTTTGGAGTTTCATTAAGGATCTTCCCTTGTTTAAAACAAACACAAAACTACTTTCTAAAGCCAGGCAGCACAGATTTATAGTAGCTGTAGATAAGACCCAGTCTCTGTGTACCACTACCACCTGCCAAAACACAAAATTCATAAAGAAAAGTGGGCTTTGGTGTCTTTGCATCCCGTGTTAAACTGAATGCCTCCAATTCTGCACAGATCTGTTTCCACTGGCCTTAGCTTACTACAAAATTTAGTCTAATAAATGGCTGCAACTTCCCCCTTTCTATCCCAAAGAGGAGGTGAACTGCAAGATCAGGTGGCCCATGATTTTTGTGCTGTTTTCGGCTTGTCTGTAGGGAATGCTAAGGGTAGTTTCTGCAGCTCTTCTGAAGCATAGTTTCCTGCACAGTAGCAATTCTCTGCCCTTTCTTATTCACCTTTTACAAGATTCCATCTGTATCCAAGCAGGGGTTTGTTGCTGAAATGACTCTACTGTAACTGTAAAATGTGGTTTGCATATTTTTGCACTTCCTCCGTCAGTCTGATGAGAGCACTATCAAGCTTATCTTTGCAGAGCACTGAACTACTGAACAAACTGCCAGCTGTCCTTGTTGCCCTCTTTCAATCTAAGAATGGAAAATTAGCTTGTTTCTCTAAGGAATTAGAATTGTAAGTAGAATATTATGCTGTGGTCTGTAGTCTATTACCTGGTTATCCACCTTTACATTGTAAGTGGCATGTGGATGCCCATTTTAATAAAGGATGTTAGGCTGTAAAATTAATATGAAATTTATTAGGAAATGAGTAATTTTTGGAATAGTAGTTCTGATACTTTTGCAGGAGATTCCCTGCAGAGCAGTATCTTGGTAGGGGTTTCAGATGACATTGTGCAACTGAATGTTGAAAAGACAAGGTCTACTGTGCTTTAGGGAAAGTTTTGCTCTAAGCAGCAACTTGCAAGTTTGGGTCCAAGTTATTTAGCTCTAGGCTGAAAGTTAGCAGCTAATTGTGATAGAATGATTTATTGTACTAGAATATGATAAATGTGCAGTGACGGTTAGGACAGTTTACATTGGTATGAATATGCCAATATTTATATACAGGAGTTTTAATGCATTATTATGAGGAGGCTAATTATATATTGCAGAGATTAATCGCCAAGATAAGCTGCATATTTATGATATGAAGTGGCTTAAGCGGATGAATAGTATAAAAAAGTTGTTGGGCATAACGTCACAGTACTCACCTGCTTGAAATAAGTCTTAAACTATATTATAAAACCAACCATTGTGGTCCTGTTCACCTCTGTGCAAGATAAATTCAGATTTCACTGATGTTTTGGAGCTGTTCACAACTTGTCTGGATTGTATCTTGAGTGTTCTTGTGTCTTTAACCATGTCAAATAAAATACAGTATAACTTAATTTTTCTTTTTGGGTGTCACTATTTTTATGAAAATTACTATAAAAAGAAAGCTAATTTATTTTGAAAGTGAAAAAGACCAAGTGGTTATACTTGCATTTGGGTATTTCTTTATTTGCATAACTGAGCAAAAGTTGCATCAACTGTATATGCTGTTTATCAGATTTCTTCAACTTTTCAGATGTGTGGACACCTGAAGTCTTGGCCGAGGGCTTGAAGGTCCCTGTGCAGCACGCACAACTCTTTGACAAGAGGCTGCTACACTTTTGGTTCACTTGTACAGTTTCTAGGGGGACTCCATACGTGCCTGAGGTAGAAGTCCACTGCTGGGGATTACTCAACTTCCACCAGAGCTTGTGTAGCTCTGAGTAAGGCGTCTGTTGGAGTTAGGACAGAAAGACTTTGGGAGATACCAAAAGCAGATTAGGTATTTTCTGTAATGATGCTCTGAGTGAGCCAGGTAATCAAATATAAA